CGCAGCACCGTACCAAACCGTGTTAACACCAGAGCTCCGCCTCGGGGAAGTTCACCGGCACACCGTGGACACTCATACGTCATGGGGCCCCACGGATCCAAAATAGTTACCGACACAGCGGAATCAGGAAAGGGAACTGTCCTCTCAGCCCAGTGGTTTACAAATCCCAGGTAAACAGGTTACGTGGCAAACGTCACCGTCACACGGGTAAGTGAGAGCTTCAGTCCCAGAAGATCGGCGACACGCACAGTCAAGTCCAGGAGCGCAGCTTCCACTAGGCGAATCCATAGGAGAATGCTCAAGCCGCACAGTATCCACACGGCGTATCCGGCCACCTCCAGCCCCTGCAACGGCCAGCGGGAGCACCACTCCAACAGGCAACCACCACCTCGTTGTTTGACTGTGCAACTGGCAGCTCAAGCCCGATGTCTGCCCCCTCTGGGGTCAGGGGCAGGAATCCAGATTAGAAGACCAAGTGGTGACGAGCAGTGCATCGTTTTATGCCATTGTTGTAATGTTCAGTACAGAGTGTTCTCACTGACCGGACCTGGGGACGAGAGGATAACATTAGGAATGTCAGGTTTAAAATGGTTAATATGGAGAGAGAGAGAGAGAGAAAAAAAAAAAAAACGTTGTGTAAATAGTTTAAGCCTTCGTTAGACACGAGCAACCTTCACTACCGCCCACAGGATGGATATAGGGCGCTCAGCTAGTCACACGTACGATGAGTGGGGTCCACTACCGCAGTACCAGTAGGAACACACGAGTATGGACGCCAGATGCAGAGGTGCTTTAAGCTTGAGAATTCACTAAATGCTGGATTATTTATACAAGAAAATATCCACCATGGAACGACATCCTAAAGATTAAGACTTCTTGGTTCATTGATTGCATAAAACTTTACTATTACTAGAATGTCATCTATAGCCTGCTGAACTTTAGTAGTCTTATTATTAAAACACTTTAAATTTAGTTTTGAATGTACAGTTTTAACGTTTTACAAATTAGTTACGCCATTATATACTTAAATTTGTACATTTAACTTAAATTTGAAGGTTGAAGGCCAGACGATAAGGGCTAGCCTCTTGCATGACATGTGGTGTAGAGGAGCGTCAGAGGCTAGTTTGGGGCCTGCTTTAGTGCCATACGCCCCATTATGCGCACTTAAACCCCAACCTTTGATTGGTTAAGGCAAATAAGAAATGGTAATTTTCCCTACACATTTTACTAGATCCAGTATGGGGAACAAGGGAAAGGGAGGCGACGCAGTAAGGGAGGGGGAGGAGGCAACAGGGAGGGCGGGGGGGGGGGGGGGAAGGACGCAACAAGAAGGCAAGGGAGGGGGGGGGGAATTACCAGGAGAAAGCGCCAAGCCATTACGACTATATAGCAAGGGAGGGAGGGGGGTATCCTCACCATACAGGTAAACTTCAAGAGACGAACCTGGAACTGTATACCAAAAGTGAGGTAAAACACACTGACGTGCTTTTGGTCTCATCGGTCCTTTTATAACCAGCAGCCAACCAAACCCGACCGCTGATTGGTTGACAGTCACCCTAAACCTCACCCCATTGGTTAACATTTTGCGAGTCTGAAGTGTCAATTATCAATGGCCAACAGCCACTCCTTCACTTCCCCAGATACGAACGAGCCTCTAATGAACCAATAATGATCTCCAGCTTGAATGTTTGAAGTTGTTAATTTCAAAATCTAATTCACAAACCAAATACAACATTCTGTTGTAAATGTTGCAACAGAACAACAGGTACAACAGAGCAACATTTGCAATATAATCGGCAGTGAAGTAGTGGTCGTCCGTCAGTCAAGAACTGTTAATGGCCGCTCGACAGCTACAATATACAATAACACACTAAGAAACCCAACAACCCAACGCTCCTGACACAAGACTTTTATTTATTTATTTATTTATATACAAGAAGGTACATTGGGTTCATGAGAGTACATATCATTGATGATTTTACATTCTTGTGAAGCCACTAGCACGCATAGCGTTTCCGGAAGATCCTTAATCTAACAGAAAAATTTAAGTAGGTAATTTGTGGCAAAATTTTAAAATGTTAACAGGTGCACTGTAAGGAAATGTGAACATAATTTGAGGATTATTTCTAGGTACATTGTAGTAAAATTTGTATTCAACATAGTAACCATGATATAAGATGGCAGTGAATACAGCGGTGAAGTTGTATGGCTTAGGCATATATATTATATATATATATATATATATATATATATATATATATATATATATATATATATATATATATATATGTCGTACCTAATAGCCAGAACGCACTTCTCTGCCTACTATGCAAGGCCCGATTTGCCTAATAAGCCAAGTTTTCATGAATTAATTGTTTTTCGACTACCTAACCTACCTAACCAAACTTAACCTAACTTTTTCAGCTACCTAACCTAACCTAACTTAAAAAGATAGGTTAGGTTAGGTTAGGTAGGGTTGGTTAGGTTCGGTCATATATCTACGTTAATTTTAACTCCAATAAAAAAATATTGACCTCATACATAATGAAATGGGTAGCTTTATCATCTCATAAGAAAAAAAATTGAGAAAATATAATAATTCAGGAAAACTTGGCTTATTAGGCAAATCAGGCCTTGCATAGTAGGCCGAGAAGTGCGTTCTGGCTACTAGGTACGACATATATATATATATATATATATATATATATATATTGGGGGCGTGGGTAGCACAGGATACAGTGCGAGTTTGAAACACAAGGTAGGAAACTATGTGGATGAAATTACGTACTTTTTGGTTTTACTTTTGAATAAAGTAAAACGAAGTTTTACTTTTGAATACGCTGGACAGCTTTTCAATTCATTGGGGAGTGAGTTCCATAGACCAGGTCCCTTTACATACTTGCATAGAGTGTTTACATAGATTTAATTTAACTCTGGGGACATTAGAGATATTTATTTCTGGTGTGGTGATTATGGATTCTATTACACCTATCAAGGAAGAGTTTTGCACCTAGGAACAAAGTTTTGTATATGTGAGGCCAGGATTGGTATTACAGTTCAGAGTTTTATATATGTATATATATAGAGTACACTTGAGAGGATGTGCAGTGAATTAATAACATATTCAAGGATTTAAATAAGGTGCTGTCTGGGGCCAGAGTTTGTTGTTGTTCTAATAGCAGATTTGTGTTGGGTAATTAGATGACGTAGAGGATTTTGGGGTAGTAGAACCCCTTATAACTGTCTTATCGTAACCTCCGTCTCAGACGAGTGTTCCCATGCTTAGCTTGGTACATTATGACTTCTTGTTGTGTTTTGGCCTACCTCAGTGGTTAGCTGAGGTGAGGTCCTGGCTGGTCTGTGTGTCTGCTGGCTGGGGTTCGGCGTCTTCCTGGGTAGCCAGGTTCTGGTTCCTGCCAGGCTGTTGGTAGTCCCTGTTGGCTCCATCCCGGGTACAGCTTTGTGTGAGCTTCCTTTTTGGGCTGTCAGTTGGCTCCACCTTCGTCCTCTGGCCTTGCATCTGGCTGCTGCTTCGCCATCTGTGGGTGGGTGGTTGACACCAGTGCCCTCGGTAGTTGGGTTAGGCACTTGTGCCCGTGCCTGCACCTTACCCTTCTCTGAGTTTCGCTAGGCTTCGCTGATGCCACACTCATTCGGGGCGAGCTCTGTTGGCCTCTCATTGGCTGCTGCTTTATTGACTATTTCTTCAAGCTTTTGGAATTCTTCCCTGGTGCCTTCCTGTGCGACATGGGTTAGTGGCCATGAGGCCAGCACTGCGGGGGGTGGAGCCCTGGCGCTGTGTTCCAACTCCTTCAGGGTTCCCCGAGGGTTCTCTTTCTCTGGGGGGATGGAGCTTTCACTGCTATCTTCTTCTTTGAGGCTGAGCACTGCATCTGGTATCTGCTGGGCTCTCAGGATATGGCTGTCCATGCCATTTGTTTTCAAATGGGGTCGCCTGTCTTTGCGGGTGGTTTGCCAGTTTCCTTCCCATTCCCGGGGGTTGCCCTTTTGGGCCTCCTCCTCCTCCCTATGGTTTTGGTCCTTCCCATTTACTTAGCTCTTGTTCCCACTATTAGGCTCTTGTGTGGGTGCTTTTGGCTGGTCTCTTTAAGGGAGCAGTTCTTTTGCCTTTCACCTCTTCCCCCCCCCTCCCCCATGTGCCGGCGTTGCCTGCTGTTCCTTGACAAGTTGGGATCTGCTTCGGGAGTGTTCCCGGCTCCTTGGTGGCCATTTCGGCAACCTGTTCTTGGACCAAGTCCATTCTATCCAGGGGTCGACCCCAAAGATGCATTCATCAATTTTAACATTCTGTTCATTGAAAATAGAACTTTTCTCAAATATAAATTAATATTATATATTAACATATGGTACATAATTAGGCACTGGTTAGGTTAGGTGTATAGGTTCTGTTGGCGATTACTGTTAGTATGTAGGTGAAGCATTTACAGCGTTGTATTTCGAGCAAAAGTCATCTGCGAACAGCCCGTCCTTCAAACAAAGACGCAAAGTCCATTCCATGCACCCGCCAAACCCGCTGTTTATGAATTAAAAACGGTTTACACACGACTCAACTGATGACGTCCGAACACTTCCGGAACAAGTGCTTCCCTGCTAAACAGGAGAGTTGAAGATTCAATGTCTCTACCATTACGTTGTCACCTGCCATTACAGTTCACACTCCTGTCCCTTAGATCTAGACGAAAATCCTTAAGATTGCTGGAAATTTTGTTCCAGACATATCTCTTGTCCTTCGTCTCCGTGGTTGTGTCGTGGTGGATCTGGTGTTGGTCGTGAATGAACTGATTTCTGTGTAGTGTAGTGTAGTGAACCGAGTTTCCACTTTTCAGCCGTTAACTCTGGTACTCACCACCTTCCTACGTTCCTTACTCGTAAGCCACTTCTTGAGGTTGCCCTTGGTCTTTCACACATACCTCTAGCTCCCCTATAATCTCATCTCATCTCTCTATTGATACTTCATTCTGCCCTGTTCCTCTGGGGTTCTATGGCAGCAGGCTCGGATGGCAATCATTAGGAGATGCTTCGCCATCTTCCTTCGCCTTGTGTAATTTTCTTATATTGTCATCCTCGGTGATACTAAGCAGCTTTGGAATATCCAAGGACTGATGGTGCTGCACAGTCTTCCCCAGCTTGGTGCCTTCTTTTGATAATTACTTATACAAGTTTGTTTTATAAATAATGTGGTACTCGATCCTTGATATTTAGGTCTTTATTATGTCATGCTGAGCTCATTGTGACATCTTGAAGCACATTGACATTGCAAGTTCCCCCAAAGACATGTCTGGTTATGGGCACGAACATTGTGCTGTTTCAGTGGTAGGAGAGCAATAGAACACTAATGTAAGTATAATTCATTCATTTACATTTTATACATATACATCTTTCACTAGGAAGATCTAAACTAAATGGAAATACACCTACATGAAGAACATGCTTAACTTAGCATTTAATTGTTGTCTATAGAGGATCAATCGAGATATAATAATATAGTACAGTATTACTTTATCTGAAAGTTGAAGTATATTTTCACAAGTGCTAAAGCTTGTTAATGTACACACTGTAGTGAAGAATAAAGGAGTTTATAGTACTGTAGTTACTATTCCACAAGCACTTCCATGTTTTGTGTTGTAATTTATAGCTTGATATGTTGACTTGTTAAAATTATGAATTAACAAGATTTAGCTGCTATTTACATAGCAGGTACATATAACATACGATAACATTGTATAACAGTACATGAAGTTTTTAATGTGGTATCAGAGTACACAAGAGACGTTTATCCACTTATGTGACTGTAGCGAGTAGATTATCCCAATAATATACTCGCTCCAAATGCATTGTTAATATTCCTGTCAACCTTTGGAGATGAATGAGGTGAGGCGTTGCCCGGGCAACACGGTGAGGCGTTGCCCGGGCAACACGGTGAGGTGTTGCCCGAGCATATAAGCAGCAGAATAGCAAACATTAACTAGTCTACTTTCAAGTGTGGTCTAGAGCAGACACTTGCGAGATACTGTACCGACGCTCAGTGCGCTCAACTCACACCAAAGTATCACCTGTGTACTTCTGTATATTCGACCAAATATATATATAGTATCTTAGTGTCTGTGTTTATTTGTCTCCATACTTTACGTAACAATAGACTTTACGTAACAATAGAACCGTTACATGACAAAGCCTTATGAAATGTTAGTTGCCTGTACTCAGATGTCAAGAGCAAGATATACAACTATATACACAATCTCTCCACGAGTCTGATAGTATATAACGTGAAGCTCAGCTGCAACCCGTTCTCGCACTTTCGTATAGTCAATATTGACTTATTAAATAAGTGCATATGTGACATACTAATTTATTGTGAATATTTTAGTTTACCTTGAAAAGCTTCATAGAAAACACCGACCTTACCTAACCTCCTTAGTATGTTAAGATAAGCATCTTATTGCTTTGTAATTACAATTATTACTTAACCTATTATAGGTATAGGTATACCTATTATAGGTATAGGTTAAGTAATAATTGTAATTACGAAGCAATAAGATGCTTATCTTAACATACTAAGGTGGTTAGGTAAGGTCGGTGTTTTCTATGAAGCTTTTCAAGGTAAACTAAAATATTCACAATAAATTAGTATGTCACATATGCACTTATTAAATAAGTCAATATTGACTAAGAAAGTGCGAGAACGGGTTGCAGTCGTCAGATGTAATGAAAATGGGACCGTAATAGCTGTCATTACGACTATATCAACAGGAGTTCAGTTTTCGTTCTCAACATACTGTATATGAATTTGTAAATTGAGTTAATAATGTATAGATGACTTACAAAATTGGCTAACTATGGATATACTGTACAGTAGAGATAATGGATACACAAAAGGATTATATTGTACTGTATGTTCCTAGTTTGTCTATTTTTTTTTTAAGGATTAGGAAGCCATCCAGTTTTCAGTGATTTACACTACACAAGATTTAGGAACCCCATTAAAACATGATTCACATAGGCTATACAACTCTTGCACATGTAAACAATATGAGGAACACATATATATATATCTTGATGTACTGTAAACAGGAATGTGATGGCTGTATGAGGAATATTAGCCATCAGAGACCCCCGTACTTACGTCAGCTAGACCTAGAAGACACAGACAATCTTCACGTGACAAAAGACTGCGCGGGAAAGTTCACTCCCACATATACATCAGACTATCAGCTACCACCAGCTCCTCGCGGGCTACCCTAACACCCTAGGGTAGCCTAGGGTAGCTACCTTAACACCCTAGGGTAGCCTAGGATAGCTACCCTAACACCCTAGGGTAGCTACCCTAACTTGTGATGTGCCCAACCCGTCAAATATCTCATTTCTAAAACTCTATGAAACTAATACAGAATTAGTTATACAAACCTAGATTGCTTTGAGGTTCTAGCAGTGTCCCTATGCCTTAAGCTCAACCAAGTACAGTAGTGGCAACAAGTTTAAGATTTATTTGTAAATTATATCATTGTAATTCTAAAATTTTACCAGCAAATTCCAAGAAATGTCATAGTTCCTTTGCTCATGTATGATCTTACGAGACAGCAATCTTATATCTAACACCTGACAGAGCTGCACCTGTATGCCTGACATAATGCACCTGTAGTTAAAAATGGTGCATTATACACCTTTTTGTGTCAAAATGCCTCTTGTTGAATGCAAATCCTATACCGTAAAATGTATGGTAATCAAAGAGCTTGCTTTAAAGTAAGTCCACATATGCGTAGTACTGATGTTCAAGTGAACTTTCAGAAAAATACTCTTACTACATACTTAAAGCCTGATATCGGTACAGGTAAAGATGATATGGGATAACATCCCCACTCTAGGAGGATATCACAATCTTAACTCTTTCCATTGACCAATAGTTTATAATACCATAATGTACCAAAATAATGTAAGGCAACTTACAATTGATTTGAATTTTAATATATATATATATATATATATATATATATATATATATATATATATATATATATATATACTGTATAAGCTCAAGGTTTAGAGAACCCGTATAAGGATGGGATATGCATGTTACCTTGACCATCGTGGGGCCGAGTCAAAGACTACAAAATAATGACTGAAATACTCTGATCTAATGTACTTTATAATCTATCAACTCATCACAGATACATATACATCCAATGGTGGTTCAGGGTAATTATCATCACTGTTCCATTTTGGTCATATGATTACATTTTTAGCATGAAACTCATACTGTGGTCACTATTTAACATTGTTATATTTTAGTTCAAGCTACATATAATATACCATATATCCAAGTGCTATGGACTGGAAGGAGGAAATACTAAACAAAGGCTCATTCATGTCTACAAATTAAAAACAAATTAAAATGGGCATATATTAATTATAGAAAGTTTTGGAGAGAAGGTGACTTAATTTAAACATGTTATGTAGAGGCATTTTGGACAAAAATGGAATGATCTAACATGTTTACAAGTTCTAGAATATAAATAAAAGGTTGTAACAATAATAATAATAAATAATAATAATGAAAGCTGATCACCTCAGCAAGAGGCATAAGAGGGAATACAGACAAACATATATCATAATTGTAGTTCCTTGTGCATTGGCTGCTTGTGTAGTACAACTTTCACTCACGAGTACAACTTTCACTCACGAGTACAACTTTCACTCACGAGTACAACTTTCACTCACGAGTACAACTTTCACTCACGAGTACAACTTTCACTCACGAGTACAACTGTCACTCACGAGTACAACTTTCACTCACGAGTACAACTTTCACTCACGAGTACAACTTTCACTCACGAGTACAACTTTCACTCACGAGTACAACTTTCACTCACGAGTACAACTTTCACTCACGAGTACAACTTTCACTCACGAGTACAACTGTCACTCACGAGTACAACTTTCACTCACGAGTACAACTTTCACTCACGAGTACAACTTTCACTCACGAGTACAACTTTCACTCACGAGTACAACTTTCACTCACGAGTACAACTTTCACTCACGAGTACAACTTTCACTCACGAGTACAACTTTCACTCACGCCGTGACACTGTCAGAGTGCATTACACAAGACTTTACATCACGCTTTCCTAGATATGGGATTTTTTTTTTTTACTAGTGTCTAGCATAAATCTGTACGGAATTATATAATGGGTTTAGTACCCAACAAGTAAGGATTGGCAGCTATGTAAAGCCGATATAGCACGATGCTGGTTATCTTGAGATGATTTCGGGGCTTTAGTGTCCCCGCGGCCCGGTCCTCGATCAGGCCTCCACCCCCAGGAAGCAGCCCGTGACAGCTGACTAACACCCAGGTACCTATTTTACTGCTAGGTAACAGGGGCATAGGGTGAAAGAAACTCTGCCCATTGTTTCTCGCCGGCGCCGGCTGAGTGTCAATATCTACATCATCATGGCATGATTAGTTCTTATTGGTTCTAATTTGAGTTGTCTCGCTATCCTAATTTTGTGGTATATATATTTTGTCTATATGACTTACTGCTCCAATGTTAAACCTCACTTTATCTTTACAATACATCGCCTTTCACAGTGTTAGCTAAATGTCACTTCGCCCCAAAATGTACGTGACTTTTTTTTTTTTTTTTTTTTTGAGATACATACAAGAGTTGTTACATTCTTGTACAGCCACTAGTACGCGTAGCGTTTCGGGCAGGTCCCTGGAATACGATCCCCTGCCGCGAAGAATCGTTGTTACATCCAAGTACACATTTTACTGTTGAGTTAAACAGAGGCTACAGTTAAGGATTTGCGCCCAGTAAATCCTCCCCGGCCAGGATACGAACCCATGACATAGCGCTCGCGGAACGCCAGGCGAGTGTCTTACCACTACACCACGGAGACTTATATTGTTGTACATGGGTTCTCTCTCGCCAATACTGAAATGATTGGTATAAGTTGTTCAGAATCAAGTTTCTGATTTTGA